ATATATATATATATATATATATATATATATATATATATATATATAGGAAAAACTTCTGGTAAGGTATACCTTATCGGAGCCGCCGTGCAGCCTCCACGCTTTGAGGGCCTTCCCGGTGGAATTTTTCGATAAATATTTTTTGAGCATGTTCTTCATCAAGTCTAGTACATCCATATCAAATTTCAGCAAAAAATGCAATCGGGAAGGCAGTCAAACGATTTTTGGAAGATAACTGCGTTTTATATGTATATAAAGGGTGCATTTATCTTCCAAAAATCATTTGACTCCTTTCCCGATTGAATTGTTTGCTGAAATTTGGTATGGATGTACTAGACTTGATGAAGAACATGCTCAAAACATTTCATCGAAAAATTCTACCGGGAAGGCCCTCAAAACGTGGAGGCCGCACGGCGGCTCCGGTAAGGTATACCTTACCGGAAGAGTTCCCTATATATATATAGGGGTGAGTTCTAATACAAAGATGTCTTCCCATGAAAAGTGAGAAGTGATCTAAGCCTTTGATTACTTAAAAATGGATGGTATAGATCAAAAGTAACGGCCAACTAAAATGTGTAATACATAATAACAAAATTGCATATGCAATATGTAATGGTGCACATTCAGCTACTAAAAAAATATCAGAAACAATAGTTATACTTCTTATTTTTTTTCCTAAAAAGTGATGCACTTTTGTGTTAGTCTAATGCACTTTTCCTCCGTATTCATGCACATTTGTCACGCATTTTTTTAAAAAACTTTTTGATAATTACACTTTTGGCACCAAATTTTACCCTTAAAAATTGATCTCATCCACTCATTTTCTCATCTTAATGGCTAAGATTATGTCTTACTTTTCATATGAGGAGTACTTTTTATTTGAACCTCTCTCTCTCTCTCTCTCTCTCTCTCTATATATATATATATATATATATATATATATATATATATATATATAAAGTAACAATTTCCTATATACGCTAAACTATCATTACTATTTTCTAATTGCTCTTCCTTAACGCCCTAAATCATTGAAGCACAAGAAAATTACAATTTCGTTCAAAAATATAAAAAAGCAACAATCTCCTAAATACACTAAATTATTGAGTATTACTATTTTCTAATTACTCTTACTTAACACCCTAAATCATTGAAGCACAACAAAATATGAAAGACTTAGAAAATGTTCCATTCATTTGGTATGAACTGATATGAGTATTTTAAAATCTGATCTATCCTGATCTGAATTATTCTGTTCTCATCTAATCTGGATCTTACCCGAATTTTCTTATCTAATCTTAATTCTTCTGATTTGATCTGAATCCTTCTAATATCTTCTGATCTGAATATTCTTGATATGATTGAGTGTTTATTATTATCAAATTATTACTACTATTATTATAATTATTATTAGAGAGAATTTGACTTTGCACCCTATATTTTCACTGATATTTGACTCATATTTGACTTTGGACTCTATTTTCAAAATTATTAATGTATGCACTCAAATTTACTATAAAATTGTTTCACTATGCACCTCACTCCTTCACAATTTTTGGGCTTATGGGGTGCACACATTAATAGTTTTAAAAATGGGATACAAAGTCAAATGTCACCCAAAATATGGGGTGAAAATTCAAATTTTCCCTTTATTATAATTAGCTATAACTATAATCATAATTATCACTATAATTATAATTATAATTATAACTATAATTATAAATTAATATTTTGTATGATGATAAATAGTCCAAGATTACAAAATAGTGAATTTTATTTGATTAAGTTTAACCAAAACCAATAAATGTTATTTCAAAAAATGTAACAAAGTGTTCAAAATTTTGCAACAAGACCATAATTAATATTTATGAATCTAAAGTGCTTCATTTATAAGGGAAATATAATAATTTTGCAATTCAAAATTAAAGAGTTAATATTTTAACATAAAAACAAATCTTTATTTATAACTCTCTAAATTTTTTTATTGTTCAAATTTAAAAATTTAAATTTATAATTTATTTTTGTTTATTTGAAAATTGATTTTATTTATTTAAAGTTAACAAGGGTAAATTTACTCCTTTATAGGAATATTTGGGGTACTTTTGCACCTTTTATATGTTTAGGGATATATTTGCAGCTCCACATATACTTCAGGGGTATATTTGCACATTTCCCCTAATTTAAAATATCATATACAATGTTGCAAATTATTTTGAATGGCCACATTTTCCCTTATATATTGAAAATAAAACATACTATGCCATGTGTGGTTAATAACACGTTTTCTGTTTTAAGTGCGATATTATTGTATCTTCATCTCAAGTCGTCACTTAGCTTCCTTATTAGACATCAAGAAATTCGGTAAAAGAGCTTCTACCTATAACACCAATGAAATTCTGATTCTCAAATACAATCAAGAGGTTTTGATCGACGAATATTTGTATATTCATATATATGGACTAAATATATAAAAAAAATTGTAATATTAAGATGAGACACTAGGACTAAGAAATTTAAGGCCACAGAAAGCGTAAGAATATTATCACGCAGTCATTACTCAATATTTTAAACCTTTGAGATCCTAAGAACCTTAATGCCATAGAAAGTGTAAAACATTTTATCCACACGATATTTTTGACAAAAATGCGTGTTTATATAAAAAAAGGTTTATATTAATAAATTTATCCTTAATTTACAAATTTTATTCTCCCGTACATCGCACCGGTAGAATAATAGTTTTTTTACAAACATCTAAATTGGCAAAATTTTATGAGGATGAGGGAGTAAAAACATAAAAAGTTTGAAAGTAATAAAAAACAAAGTGATATTGGGGTTGTTTCTCTTTCTAATTCCTTTTTTTTTTTAACAAAAAACATTATCAGAATATTCATTGTTTTAGAAATTAATTTTGGCTTTAGTGTTTACTATTAATTTTATTATATTAAATGAAGAGCCAATTTAAGATGTTTGAATAAGTTGTCGTTATAAATTACTTCTTTTGTAACTTGATTTTCCATGAAGTTTTGAACATTTCAAAAACCTTTTTTTTTTTCTTTTTTCTTTTCCTAGTTATGTTTCGCAACTTATCTCGGTATCAATCAACATGTCGTCCGCATCTTCTGTTGGAACCTCTTAGAGGTACAAGAGGGGCATGTCTGTGGCTACGAGTACGATCAGGCTGGCATGAATGAGGATGATGATACCTAATATCGACAAAGACTCTTTTGGTGGTGTTTGGCCATCCAAGAAGGTTTCGGAGGGAAGGAGTCCGGTGAGATGACCACCGATCTCCTTGCATATGATTAATAAGAAGAATTTTGTTACTGTGAGATCGTTACATCACGCGTAGTGTACTGATTGCAATACGATGTTATTATATATTTAAAAATGCAAACAATCCTCTTCTTCACCGGTGATTCGTTCATCTTGTTCACCAATCTTTTCGGCCATCTCCTTCATTGATTCTTTTGATTTCAATTCTCCTTCTTCAATTGTCTTCTTTTCTTTCAAGAATTTCACCATAATTTTGTTCTTTTTCATATTCAAAGTAAATCTAGTTTTTTCTTCTTCCCCATCAATTCGAAATAGAAGTTTTATTAATCTAAAATAAAATTTCATATTTGTTTTTGAAGACCTGTAACTTTTCTTAAGCTCTGTCTTGCTTTTTTCACTTCATGTGATTCATATTTGAAACCCAACAAAGATCATCGTGCTCAAGAGTTTAGCGGTTTACATATGCCACTACGTGAGTGTACATTTAAAGTAATGCGGGTTTAAAGTAATGCGGGTTGGATTTCGACATGCCTCAAGCTACATTTTCAATATTGTGATTTCATTTCGACTTGACTCAAATTACATTTTCATTAACGTGATTTATATTTCGACTTGTCTCACATTAGTTTTTTGAGTAGCACAAGTCACATTTCTTATACCCTTTATCTTCACTAATTCTTTACTGTCTATAGTGGAAGCAAAGTTCAATAACTTACATTTGATATTACTCCCTCCGTCCCAGAATTAACTTCGGTTTTGACTGGGCACGGAGATTAAGAAAGTGGGAAATGTGTGGTGGAGAGTTGTGTAGAGGAGAGAGAAATGTGTAAGAATGGTTGTGAACCACAAATCCTTTGCTAAAAAAGGAAAGAGGAGATAAATTTGGGACGAACCAAAAAGGAAAGAATGAAGATAATTATGGGACAGAGGGAGTAACTTATTTACATCTCGGGTAACACAAGTTACATTTTCATTCACACAATTTACATTTTACTACGTACATTGGAAGGGGAGTGAATAACTATTGGATGGAGCGAGGATCAAATTGTTTCAGTGTGCGCTTTTTATTCTATTGAAATTCAATGACATTGTTTTAGGTGTGAGAGGTATATTAGAGCATCTCCAACTTAAGGGTGGATTGTATCTCCACCTCACCAAATGCACTCCACTTTAATAATTGTGCTCTCCAATGCAACAAAAAATAGAGAAGGTCAAGCTTAGTTGGCAAAGGAGAGAGAAGGCCAAGGTCTTGCACAAGGTCCATTGATAGACCTTGGGTCTCACCTCACCAACTTAAAAAGCAATAATTCTTTTTTAATTTGTGCAGTGATTTCATCTGCATTGGAGTAGAAAAAAAGTAGACCCTTCCAATTTGTTTGCTTTCCCTTCTATCCTCAATGGACTCTTTGCATTTGGATGACACATCACCTCCAATCACCCTTGGGTTGGAGATGCTCTTATCGTTATCGTGCATATGGCATTAGTGTAGACCCCTTCTTCCGGTGCAATTCTCTTACAAATTTCTAAATTGGAATTAAGAGGTCGGGAGTGTTTTAAATGTATTACTAATTGATTTTATGTCCACATTCACGCAATCCACCTGCATCTCTTGGCATTCCATGAACTTGTTCAATGTATTTTTTGCCAGGTGGCTATGATTAAGGTTGACTATTAAACATGCCCAAAGATTTTCAATAATCATTGACCCATAAATCCCTCAGTGATTGCACATTTTTTAATTTTTATTCTTCAACCAAACCTCCATAGTTAATAGTACTCCGTATTAGTTTTATTATTTTCAATCATTATATTATTCAAAGTGATTAGCAATTAATTAATCAGTGAAGCAGAGGAGATGAAGAGCGAAGCTGAGCTCACAGTTCTCCACCCATCCATTCGAGCCCGGGCGGCGTCTCTTCGCACTATCGCTATACTTTTCGCCTCATTTTTTGCATTTTCTTTTGGCTTGACTCTATTTTCCGGCAGAGAAGCTGCAGGGACAAACGCCACGGCGGCGGCAAAGCATCCGAGACCCGACCCGGTGTTGGAAGCGCTGGTGCATTACGCCACGGTGAATACGACGCCGGTGTATGCTGCTCGAATGTCCACCGCGGAGGTGAATTGCATCGTCGCCGCCCTCCGCCGCTGCCAGAACGCGTGCAATTTTCTCGTCTTCGGGCTGACCCACGAGACCTTCCTCTGGCACTCGGTGAACCACGGCGGCCGGACGGTGTTCATCGACGAGAGCGCGTATTGGGTGTCAAAATACGAGGACAGATTCAAAGGGATCGAGGCGTACGATGTGAGATTCACGACGAGAGTGAGCGAATTGTATCATCTTCTGGATCACGCGAAGGGTGAGTTGAAGAGAGAGTGCCGGCCGGTGCAGAATCTGCTGTTCTCCGACTGCAAATTGGGGATCAACGACCTCCCGAACCACATATACGACATCGCCTGGGACGTCATCCTGGTGGACGGCCCGCGCGGGTATCCGGTGTCGGCTCCGGGGAGGATGGCGGCGATATTCACCGCCGGCGTGCTTTCTCGGAGCAAAGTGGGCGGCGCGCCGGAGACCGAGGTGTTTGTGCACGAGATTTATAGAGAGGCGGAGAGAGTGAGCAGCGAGAGATTCCTTTGCCGTGAAAATGTGGTGAATCGTGTGGGGGCTTTAGGTCATTACAGAGTGGCGAAACAAGATCCGCAGAAGTATGTATTTTGTTCATCCGCTCAATTCTCATCGTCGTCTTCACCTCCGCCTGATAGGTGATGAAGCAGAGTTGTGTTATGCAATCGATCAAGTGAAGGAATAATACAGAATTAGTTTTAGCTTAAGACTTTCCCTATAAAGATATTGTATTAAACTTATCTGACTAAACAAGCTCAAAATGTGCAAGCATGATTTGAAAATCACATTACATTCAAAATGATTTTAGGATGTTTTCTTTTGGACTGTTTTCAGTCCCAGACCAGATCAGACCAGACCAGAATAGATCAGACCAGACCAGACCAGACCAAACTTTCGTAGTTATAAAATACACAGAAACCAGACGTTTACCAGACCAGACCAATTCAGACCAGACCAGATCAAATCAGACCAGATCAAACCAGACCAGACCAGACCAGCAAATTTCGGTCAAAAAAGAAAACATCCTTAAAACCAAACAGGAAATCAGTAAAACACGTTTTAGTGTAAAAAATGGTTTTCTCCGATGCTTTTGTGTATTGGTGCTTAGGTCACTTAGGTGTATACATATCAAAATGATCCATTGATTATGTGGGCCAAAATAAATAAATTAAGGAAGGTCCATTCTTTTCATGCTCGAATGCGAAAGACATTTATGTGAAAAACTAAACCAATGATCAAATAATTACTCTTGCGATTGAGAGGGGGTGAGTCAGAGGTTCTCAAAATCTGAAAATTGGACCTCAATGGACTTTGCACATTTCTCTCTCTTGCCAACTCAACATGACTTTCCTCATTTTTCTCTCTCGCCAAGTCAACATGACTTAGTTCATTTATGTTTGCATTTGAGACTATATTCTTTAACAAAGTGTTCATTTGATGATGTGGGAGTGCAATCAACCATTGCATAGGGGCGTCTTTAGCATTTCGGAGGCCCTAGACAAAAAAAAACTTACGGTGTAAAAGACGGGCTTAGGTAGGGCTTAGGTCCATTCTTTTCATGCTCGAATGCAAAAGACATTTATGTGAAAAACCAAACCAATGATCAAATAATTACTCTTGCGATTGAGAGGGGGTGAGTCCGAGGTCCTCAAAATCTGAAAAATGGACCTCAGACTTTGCTCATTAATCTCTCTCTCCAACTTAACATGACTTAGTCCATTGTTGTTTACATATTTTTTTCTTTTTTTTACTCCAGGGGGCTCTGGGGGAGAGGGGTTGAGGGAGTCTGGAGTAATCAGGGCTGAAACTCATTCCATTGAGTTTCAAACCCTTATGTGCCTAGCGAGTTTTGAACTCGAGACCTCTCGCTAGGCACAGTAACTTCACAACCAGCTGGGCTGGAATGCTTGGTTAATTGTTGTTTACATTGTAGACTACATTTTTTAACAAAGTGTTACGTTCATTTGATGATGTGGGAATACAATCCACCATTGCATTGGAGATGCCCTTAGAGTTCCGTTTGGATCTTTGTGAATTTCGTTTTGAGCTTAGTCATTATTTTGAACCTAATGGCCTGGTTACAACGGTTGCATGAGTACTTTTCGTGGGTGAAGTCTAGATATGAAAAAAAGAGTTTTTTTTTTTTTTTTTAACCCGGTAGGCAAACCACCAAAATCAGTGGGGCAAATGTCGGGGAACATTTGCCGGATTTTATTGAAAAACCAAAAAAAGAGTACAAAAGAAGAGGGGGATTATACCAAAACCTCTTCGGAAAGGGCATTCCCTTTCAAGATACAAAACAGCAAACAGAACAAATAAAGTAGAAAGGAATCAGGCCAAAAACAGACCCGATTAAAAAACAGTAAAATTTAAAGAAACCTGATAGAAAATATTCCAAATAAGTCCATTAGATAGGCCTGCTTTGCCAACGTAGGCAAATCATTAGGATTAAAATAAATCTGCAATTGGCCCAATTTATCCTTAGCAAGATAATGGGCAGTCCAGTTGCCCTCACGCATCACATGTCTGAAGGAGATGTTTTTGTTAACTACACTCAATCTGGTTGCCTGAATTTCATTTCTCCATCGTCGAGCATCTTCATCCAGCAAAGTAGATAGGGCATTTCTCGAATCAGACTCAACCTGAAAATTTTCATATCTAGCTCGAATCGCCCAGCTTGTAGCGAAGATGATAGCCTTCAGTTCAGCCTCCATCGAAGAAGAAGCAACAAGAGGAAACCGAATCCCGAAGACCAGCTTTCCTCTGTCCGTTCGCATAATAGCTCCTCCGGTCGCCTGAATTCCATCAAAGGATGCATCGGTATTTATTTTTAGACCCGACTTTGGTTTATGCCATTTAATCAACTGAAATTTTCTTCCTGGCCACCGAAATCCCCTAGGAACCAGTTCCTCTTCCATTAACACCTCACCCATCTTCGATGGCTTTAACTTGTCCAAAGAATAAATCCATTGTTGAGTATAACGCTTGATTTGCACCGTAATATGTGCAGACGTCCTAGGACAATCTCCTTTTCCCCAAATCAAATTTGAGTACACTTTCCAAATATTCCAACAAATTATCCCAGGTAGGTTATGTTTGAAAGTGTCCTCAAGCGTTTTAGTTCCTGCTTTTAACCACGAGTAAGTGAAGACTTCAGTACTATTTGAGCTTGGTATACGAATGCCAAAAATATTCATCAAGTAGTTCCAAATAGGCAAAACATTACTACATTGATAAAATAGGTGATTGACAGTGTCCTCATTTTTCTTGCACAACGGACAAAGTGATGGATTTACCACCAAATTGAATCTTAACAGATTATTTGTGACTGGCAGAAAATTATTCAAAAGTTTCCACTGAAATATCTTCACTTTTCCACTGAGAAAAAAAGAGTTTTTCTCAACAAAAAAATAGTTATATAGGTATAGTACTCTAATGTTTGGTATTTTTATTTTTATATGTTTAAAAATTAGGAAAAATTGAAAATAATAATCCCAACTATTGCCGGTCCGCTAAAAATAATCCCAACTATTGATTATTTTTGTATAATCCCAACTATATGGACCATCCGCCAATAATCGTCCATGACCAAATATTACCTTCTATAAAAGTGAATTTTAAATAGAAATTAAGCGTAAAAATTAAAAGTTAAGATTATTTATAGAGATTACTTGCTATATCTCTTCTCATCCACTTCAGAAAGTACATGAATTTATTTATAGGGACTGTTATTGGCAGAAGGACCATAAAGTTGGGATTATTCTAAAATAATCAATAGTTGGGATTATTATAAGCGGACCGCCAATAGTTGGGATTATTACGATCAATTTTTCCTAAAAATTATATATTCAATTCATCAAAATTATAAAAATATGCTCAAAGCTGTAATAATATTTTCGGGCATTTAATTTTTTTCTTTGTATGTCATATACGGAATAATAAGAGCCCATTTGGAGAACTCTGTTTTCGGCTTATCAGGCTTATCAGCCAGCTTTTTCACCAAACACGTAACTTTTACTTTCGCGCGCTGAATTGTGTAATAAGCCGAAAAAGTAAGGTTGGAGTTACTTTTCTGGCTGTATTGGCTGAAGTTACTGTAGAGGACCATTTTAGCTATTTTTACATATAATTTTTTCTTTAATTTATTAATAAAATATTTTTTTAAAATATTTTTTTCTTAAATCAGCAGAATCAGCCAAAACAGCCACTCCAGCCAGAATATCATAAATTTCAGCAGAATCAGCCAAAACAGCCGATTTTGGTGCTACCAAACGGGCTCTAAATATACTAAAAATCAAAATGCGTTTCACACGTAGACTTCCTCTATTCCCGCCTAAATTTTAAAGGCATAAATCTTGACTTTGACAAATAGTCATGCTTCATGACTTTTATGTAATAGTTTAATTAAAAAATTGTGTACACTTTAGGTCACCAAATATGATTCTGACGTGCTTGATTACAAAGAAAAGCAGCAGGCTTACAACCATCTCATCTGTGCGCCTTTTCCTACCTTAAGACATATCTACTCCAATTAAGCTGCAACTTAGCAACTCTTCTTTTTAACAATTCAATCAATAAGTTGTACTAGCTAGTATGATATATATATAAATCAATCTTGCATGCTGAGCATTTTAAACCATTATTAATTAATTAATTAATACCCATATAAAATACATACATATGCCACTGATAGGATATTAGCCTTGCCTGTCTTGCTTATTAGCAGCTAGCATCTCATTATATATATTGTAGTCGTCGTCTTTAGGTTTTGATCTTTTCAATATCTCATTGCATAGCTAGCTAAGCTGTATATGATATGATGGGCCTCTCAAAGCCGCATATTGTTGTTTTTGTTTTAAGGGTCTTAGCCTTAGGAGGCACTTTAGCTGCAACCATTGTGATGGTCACCAGCCACGACTCTACTCAACTCCTTGGCTTCACATTTCAAGCCAACTTTACCCATTCACCAACTTTTAAGTAACCCTTTTTTGTTCTAATTATTGAAAAGTGGAATTTAGCTAGCTAGCGGCCGGTTCACGAACTTAACCAAACATATATGCTCTTGGCAGGTACTTTGTTGGGGTGAATACAATTGCAAGTGGATATAGTCTCATAGTCCTGTTTTTTCCATCCAAGAATATGGCCAGCAGTCTTCTTCTCGTTTCAGATATGGTAAACCCCCCTTGAATGCATGTATTTCTTTCTTAACTAAATGTATTTTTCCCTAGGACTATGTGAAGAAACTACAATTCATCAATAGTAATATGTAAGATACCATATATTTATGCATATTCTTTGAGGCTTACCTTATTTTAAAATTGAAGTCAAGTCCTCCACATGGCTAATGACCTGTTCTTTTTTTTTTTTGTGGGGGGTAAAGATATTGATGTTGTTGATGGATTCAAGCATATCAGCATGCCTCGCTGTGGCTGAAGTGGGAAAGAAAGGGAACATAAATGCTGGTTGGCTGCCAATTTGTGGCCAAGTCTCAAAGTTCTGTGATCATGTTGCAGGATCTCTCATTGCTGCCTTTGCTGCTTTAGTTCTCTATTTTCTTCTTCTTCTCTACTCTTTCCACACTGTCCTTAATCTTTACACCCTTAAATTGTAATAAGTCTCGTTTTTCCACGGGAATTTTGGAGCCCTTTGTAATACACCTGTAACATTCCTCCACCATCTATGTTTTTCACTACATATATACACATACACATGAGGAATGAATTTATTGAACTGTAGTGCCAATTGGCAAATGCTCCCTCGACCCGGACTGCACTATAATGACATTGTAATGACTATGAATCATATTTGTGTAAATTATTTTTATTTTAGTAATATTTTTGAAAAAACTCTTTAGATTCCTATGCTACTTGTTTTTTGGATGAAAGGTAAGTATATATAGAAATCATCCAAAGAGTTTATATGTACATCAAAAAATAAGGAGCATAAATGGGGCTATCTATAGAAAGGATAACCCATCACCCCAAAAACTCTACAAAATAAACTCCCTCAGCTCACGGCCAAACACAAAATAAGTAATGGGCCATGCATGGCTAATCTATCAAAAAGCTATCGGTTAATGAGGGTATGTTATAAAGGATCTTATACCCAATGTATTTGATCCTAGCAAGTATATCCTCTCTTTGTGTGGTTCCATAAAATTTTGTCGCATTTCTCACTCTCCATAGCGAGTAGATGGTGTAGATGAAAGCAATGTGGTCTACCTTTGCTTTGCTTCCAACACCTACATGGTCTTTCTGGATCCATTTCACCGAGCTAGTGTAAATATCTGTCTAGCTAGTGTAAATATCTGTCTAGGTATTCCAATCCAATCCAATCACTTACTTTGCTCCAAATGGCTCCTGAAAATTGGAAGGCAAAAAACAAGTGTGGTACCGTCTCCGGTTTACCCTTGTGAGAAGAACAAATGTTAACCAATTTCAAGCGTCCAAGGTTATCATAAGTTGCTAGGCGATTCCGAAAGGCAAGTCAAGCGGTAAATGAAAACTTAGGTGGGATATAGGTCTTCCAAATGAAAGACATCCACACATGCTTGGTTCCTTTAGTACGAAGCAAATCATAGACTTTGGAGGAGCAAAGTTTGCCATTACTAGCAAACTAATAATTAGCGACGCTCTCAATGGTTTCCACAACGGTATCAAACTTAGATATAAGGCTGTCCCGAATCAAAGCAATTCTCTTTGTTAGTACGGAGTCCCTCGTAAAATACACTATACAGCCGGCTGTACCGTGCGCATTGTATAGCCGACCATTTTTTAGCTCCGCGCTTCTTCTTCGATCGATCTCGCTTTTGCCTTCTTCCTCGACTTCACACCCAGCTTCGAACCAGCTTCAGATCTCGTCTGGTTCTTCGATCTGGCTTCGCACCTGGTTGATTATTCGCTCACCACTCGTCTCTTTCTCTTGCTCGTCGTTGCCTCTCATAGCTCATCTCCTTCTCCTCTAGAACGAACAAAGCATATCCTCCCTCTGTCTTTCTTTTCACTCTCTTTTTTTCCTCTCTTTTTCTTATTCAATTTTGATGTTTGAGATTGTGATTTTGGAAGACAAAGGGAGCCTACGGCAGAAAAAGGAGTCCTTACTGCTATTCATCTCAAATGAGTTTTATATCAAACTCAAATGAGTATACACATAAAAGAAATGAACATACACAACTGGACATTAAGCAAATTAAAAATGAGTTTTATATTAAACTCAGATGAGTATACGCCTTAAAGAAATGAACATACACAACTAAATATTAAACACATTAAAAATGTGTTTTTATGTTAAACTTAAATGAGTATAACATCCAAAATCAATGAGCATACACAAATGAGCTTTTGAATTTTTTGATACTCATTCTGTAAATTATGTATGCTCATTTAGTACTGCTTTATGCTCATTTAAAATGATGCACATATCAAATATAACAACCAAAATCAATGAGCGTACACAAATGAGCTTTTGGATTTTTGGATACTCATTTTGTAAATTAAGTATGCTCATTTCGTACTGTTTTATGCTCATTTTAAAATGATGCACATATAAAATATAACGCCCAAAATCAATGAGCATACACAAATGAAGTTTTGAATTTTTTGATACTCATTTTGTAAATTATGTATGCTCATTTGGTACTGGTTTATGCTCATTTTAAAATGATGCACATATCAAACATATCATACTACATTAGATTGACATATTGAAATTAATTATAAACACAATTTAAGAATTTTTTATAAACAAAAATTAATAAAAAGAAACTGAATTAGAAGATATGAATCAGATATCATTGGTGCTCATTGTTAGGCTCCTAATACTCAGAAGAACAAACTCGATGTTCATCCAAATTACATCAATGATCATTTAAGAGAAATGATGAACTTCATCAAAGCAAATATGGTATATGCTTCCGAGTCCCTGGGCTGTCTCGAATCAAAGCAATTCTCTTGTTTTCATTTTATTTATTGTAAACTTGAGAAAATACAACCAAATAAGTAATCACGCCTATAAAAGTCAATCAACTCCGCAAGAACATATGCTAATCACATCCTGGGCAACGAACTATGAGAACACGAACAGTAGAAGATGCGAATTTTCAAATGATCTTGCTGATTTGAACTCGTTTGGATTTGGGTGTGGGTTAGGGTTGGATGCGAAAAACCGAAAACCGAATCAAATTATATCGAACCGTAGCCAAATAAAACCGAACTGCTAACAAATCGAAACCAAATGTAAAAAACTGAACCGAACCGTAGTTGTTTGGTTCGGTTTTGGTTTTTAGGCCATCTCCAACAGTTTACACCATTTTTTACACTAAAATGGTGTAAACATCACATCAAACAGTATTTTATCTCTAGCAGTTTACACAATTTTTATCACCAAAAAGAAATATTCTCTTTTTATTCTTTTTACTAACTTTTTACCATTCTTCTATTTAAGTATCTAATTATCATATATTTATACATTAGCCCCTCATTTAATATTTTGACATTTCACACATTATTTCACACATACAAACTAAAATACACCATTTTAATATGTATTTTCACACATTTCACTAATTAAAATACAATAATCAATATTTCACTAATTATAATGGTGTTATTAATTGTAATTTTAATTATGTTATTTTCTTAAGTATCATTTGTATTCTGTTGTTTCGAATTGAAACTTTTTTTTATAATATTGTGCGATTTAAATTTCATTATATTTTTGTTATTTTCTATCAAATTAATAATTTTAATTTGTTGTTCTATATAGATATTTTTACTTGGACTGTAATTTGTCTCAGATCAGATCATACCGGATTAGACCAGACTTGGATAGTTATAAAAATACAAAGAAATCAGACCAGACCAAATCAGTTCAGAACAGACCAGACCAAATCCGACCAGATCAGACCAACAAATTTTAGTCCAAGTAAAAACATCCTAATTTGTTGTTTTAAAAATGGGTCAAAACAATAATAATCAAAACTTTGGGTCACATTTGAAATAAAAAAAATAGAAAAAGAAGATGGTGTTGGATTTGGTGTACGCCATATATGGCGTAAAGCCAAAGGCACTCCACCAAAATGGTGAAATGGTGTTGAAGATGGTGTGACTATTGGAGCATTTTTTTTGGCAAATGCACCATTTTGGTGTAGAATTGAAGTTGGTGCTTGTTGGAGATGCCCTTACCCTTCAAAACCGAACTGAACCGTACAAACCGAACTAATTAAAATATAAAATTTATTTGTCAATTGTTGTGCATTAATCCTAACTAATCCTAATATCATTAATAGTCTCTGGTTTTCTTGTGCTAGAGAAATAATGTTTATGCTATGTTTAGTTTAGTTTATAAAGTCATTTACACATTCATTGCCTATAATAATGTAGCTGTACTGAATGATGATAATATGTTTTTACTAGTTATTAGTATTAATTAACTTTTATTTTATATAACGTAAAGAATTCATATTGATGAAACAATATATATATATATATATATATATAGGGAACTCTTCCGGTAAGGTATACCTTACCGGAGCCGCCGTGCGGCCTCCACGTTTTGAGGGCCTTCCCGGTGGAATTTTTCGATGAAATTTTTTGAGCATGTTTTTCATCAAGTCTAGTACATCCATACCAAATTTTAGCAAAAAATTCAATCGGGAAGGCAGTCAAATAATTTTTGGAAGATAACTGTACCCTTTATATACATATAAAACGCAGTTATCTTCCAAAAATCGTTTGGCTGCCTTCCCGATTGAATTTTGTGCTGAAATTTGGTATGGATGTACTAGACTTGATGACGAACATGCTCAAAAAATTTCATCGAAAAATTCCACCGGGAAGGCCCTCAAAACGTGGTGGCCGCACGGCGGCTCCGGTAAGGTATACCTTACCGGAAAGATTTCCTATATATATATATATATATATATATATATATATATATATATATATATATATATATATATATATAGGGGTGAGATCCCATGCAAACCAAGCTTCCCGTGCTAACCTACAAACCAACAACATCCGCTGGATTAAATCATGCGGACGGCTGGTGATTATCGAAAGGCGCTGCACTCAGCCGTATGAGAAAAAAATGGATAACACCATTTTATAGCTTTAGGCATTTAAAAGGTCACAAATGTAATTTAAAAAAAAAGATATCCCACTAACTGATTTGAACGGTGCTATACTTCCCACTAAACAACTAACAATCCAAATATATGCAAATTATATGAAAAGGTAAGTGGCAGACAAGGTAACCCCATGATAATATGATATGATTGAAGTTAATCATGAATTGAAAAGTAATTTACCTTTTTGTAATTAATAATTTCTATGAATCAGTCGGTTCTTAATAAACCTCTATTTTCGAAACTTAGCTCCTATTATCGAATGAAAAAGTTAATATTTTAACACAAGTAGAAATTTAATATATGTGAGCAGTGCATATTAAGATTAGAGAATATGCATTATACAACACTTTATATTAAAATTACGAGATGTGCATCATATATTCGTAATGTGTGTATCAATTATTTTAGAAACTCATATTGATAACATATGTCGATCTTGTGTTTTATAAGTTCATCATTGCATTTTTAGTAAGATGACAAGTGCATATGAGAAGTAAACATACGTGTGAACTGCATATTAAGGTTGTGAGATGTGCATTGTATAAGTATAACGTGTGCATATGATAATATTTTACTTAAAGTGCATATTAAGGTTAAGTGATATGCATATTAAGGATGGTGAGCTATTGATTGCATCTTATCGTTATGACAAGTGCATTTTTAGTTCACGTGT